CCCCAAAACCCCAAAACCCCTTAAAGCTATCAATGAGTATAAATCATAAAATATTTATTTTCAAGCTAAATTAATAGTATAAAATGAAGAATCGTCATAGCAATATTATATTTTCTCATCAAACATAATATCTCTCTATTTACAATATGTTGACTTATTTTATTTCAGCATGCCGATATAAATATCACTCTCTAAATTATTTGATATTCTTAATATTATTGGAATTCATTAACTATCCAAGATCGTAGTTAATTTAAAATGATTATCGATGATCAATCATAGAAGTAAGTCCTTCATCTAAATCTAAGTCATCAATAGCAATATCATCTTTCAAATAATCTTAATTACTATCGCAGAGATTTAATACTTAACATTTAGATACAATGCTTTGATAGTGATCTACATTTATTTAAGGCTGCGAGAATTTTAAATTTTTCAAATCAATAATAAGACCATTCTTATCTTGAATGTCCTATACAGCATCTATGAGGTTTAGCTTAAATATTCCTGAATTTACTCTTATTTCATTGTCGATTTAATTTTGATTTTTAGATGTTTTGTGAAAGATAACTTTGTTTAGTTAATTAGTGATTCTAAGTTGACTGCTTTCCAAGCTTATTGTATTATCATTCTTTTCTTACAACTAAATGCGTGGCCTCGTAATTTTATAATTTTTATTTAAAATAGACTCTACTATTGAATCTTATTTTAAGACACGAGCTTAACTTTTAGACTTTTAATATTCCTATTCTTTTCGATTTATTGAATTCTGCCGAATATCATCATTAAAGATTTATTATTTTATCTATGTTCCATAAGATTTTTGTTTATCAACATTCTCAAATTAACATCAAATCTGATTGTTGATTAGACTATCGTCAATAAATTGAACTGGAGTAAATTACTTTTATTTAGGAATTTTTTTTTCTTGGCTTTATTATTTAATAGTACCGTTCATCTTATTATTGCTTGAGAAATAGTTAAAATCTTAAAGGGTGTTTTAATTTTTATTACTCATTGCATGATGAGTAGAAAGAATTTAATTAGAGTCCATTCTATATACTTCAAATTTAGTTCTAGAGAAGTTATGGAAAATATGTTTCATTTCAAAGTAGGAGTTATACCAGTTATGTGATGTCTAAGACCAGTCCATAACCCAACTGATCCCCTTAATATTTTTTGGATATATTTTTATTAGCTCATTAATATAATAAGAATAGTCAATCTAACTTGAGTCCTATATCTAATCTGTATACTTTAAAAGTTTTCTGAATACGCCTAAATTTCATTAGATGAGTAATAATTTTACATTTGGTCTGATTATAATATAAGTGGCTGTGCATTTATTGTTTTATTTATTTAATAGCTCGAAAACTAGAGTCCATATTACCATTAAATTTCTAACTTGACCAAGGAAGACTACCTTCAGAAAGATAAATCAATAAATAAAGAGTTGAAATGATATCATCTGTTCTTGAAGCTTCTATATAAATTTTTTAAATGCTAAAGAATCTTACATTTTCCACTCATTTAGTCAGTTGAACTAAAAGCTATGTTTCCAGTGAAAATTCTGTTTCGTTTTTTCAATTTTGTTTCACCCTCGCTCAGCTTTGAAGAAATTCCGAAATCGATTAGGTGAATAATAGACGATTTAGCATCATTAAGATTGTTGGAGGAAATGAGAATGTTATCGGGTTTGATGTCTAGATGTACGTAGCCAATGTTATGTAGTTGTTCTAGGCAGTTAATCTATAAATATGTGAGTGAGATATAAGTACTACTTACAAGCTGAATTCCTATCTACAAGACTGTCTTCATCGAAAATTTATCTTTCCTTGTTTTAATTATTTCTTAGAGGCTTAGTCCCATTCTATTCATGACAATATAATACTAATCATTGGTGGTTCCATAACTTTTCAAAACAGGAAGTCCTATGAGCAGTAAGATAAAAAGTCAAAATTACCAATAGGCTAACTATCCAATGTTAATTTTAATATCTCAATTTCTTTCTCATATACAGATTTGTCTTAAATCTATTGATTAAATGATACTCTTGAATCTTACAAATTTTACAGCTACCTTCTCTTTAGTAGTTATATCTAGAGCTGCCCAGACAAGGCCATATGCTCCATTTCCTAATGACTTATTTAAAACGTATTTTTCATGTAAAACTAAACCTTCTTATATCATTTGGCTGGAAATATTATTGATAATTAGGTCTTTAATAATTCATATCAGTAAATTTAATTTCCATTTATAATTTTCAGATAATTCATATTACTGTCACCATGGGGTTTTGGGGTTTTGGGGTTTTGGGG